GCTCAGAAGTTCAGGACCAGCCTGAGCAAGAGTGAGACCCCATCTCTACAAAAAATAGAAAAAATTAGCCAGGCAGGGTGGCACGTGACTGTAGTACCAGCTACCCAGCTACCTGGGAGGCTGAGGCAGGAACACTGCTTGAGCCCAGGAGTTTGAGGTTGCAGTGAGCTCTGAATTTGTAGGCATAATAATTCTAGTTTATCCCATGCTTGTGGGATGGCAATTAAAATATTATTCGCCAATTTCTGGGTATCACATAATAATAGATATATTCTATGAGACTATCTACAGGAGGAGAACCAAAATGGTGAAGGGTGTATCATATGAAGAACAACTGAATACACTGAGAATATTTAGCTTGCAAAAAGGAAAACATACATATTAGCCACTTTAGGGCTTTGAGATGAAAGGAGTAGTAAAGGTACCTGCTTAGCTTTAGTGTTCATACTAAGTGTGGATTCAACATAAAGAACTTTCTAACAGTTTCCTTAGACTATCACTAGAAACATCTAAGAAAGGTATTATATAGTAAAAAGTACAGAATCTTTGTTACTAGGAATTCTGGGTACTGGTTCTATAACTTCAAGCAAATCATTTAATTTCTCTGGGCCTCAGTTCCTCCTCTGGTGGAACTGATGATCTAAATTGCTTGACAAATCTAAAAGATATGGCATAAAATTAATTATTAAAGTTTAATGAAAAGGATTACTTTTTCTATTGCAAACAGTCAACTATCCTTGTGCACACTCCACATCTTATCACATACTGCTATATCATTTGTCTTCTTCACTTGGAGGTAAACACCATGTCTCATATATATATTTTTGGTACAGAGCAAGGTAAAAGGTAGGCACTCAAATATTTTCTGAACTGTCTGCTCTTAGGGCCAAATATAAGAGTTCTGCTAGAAGCTTGATTTTACATTTTAGAGGACAACATCCAGTCTCCTTAAAGCCTTTTAAGATCTTATCTCTTGCTATTTAACAACCAAACAATCTAGGAAGTTTGTAATTCCTTCAATCCTGTGGTTTCTTACCCCTTGGTCCTGCTGTTCCTCATTCTAGAATACTGTTCATATCACTCCCACTCAGATCAGATACAGATTACCTCCTCTCGACACCTTTAATCCTTCATTTATACTATATAATCTACTAAATGTCTGTCTCTCCCACTGAATGCAAGCTTCTTGTGGACAGGGGTTATCTCTTCTTCATTAGGAACACCAAATTCAAGAAATGTGTTTGATGAGTGAGTAGACTTGGCATCTGCAAAGGATTAGGATGGGAAAAGGCATCAGTAGAGAGGATGTCTACAAGACTGGCATTTTCAGCCTATCAGACATTTAATTAACTACCTTTCATTACAAAAGAAAACTTAGTTTCCTCCTAACTAAATTACTTGTTACTTTAAATCTAAAAAATTAGAAAAGATACTATTTAGTACATTTTTTTCTCTCCTGGTTTCCAACAAAGAGAACTACAGAAATGTCATGTAGACACTATTGACATTACATAAGAAATTAAATTTCAAAATTAAATTGAAAGACCATCCCTTCCTTTGAAACAAAATATTTTAACTTTCAATGATCTGAAAACAGCCAGAATTAACAGAATTTTATATGTCATTTATCACAAAAACTAAAAAATGAAAGTAAAGCAAAATATGAGTATAGAAGCAATTCTGTCTCATTAAGAGTAACTAGTCAAAATCAGTACTCATCCACAAATGCCAAACAGGGAAATAAAAAAATAATTTAAATATCTGTGGTAACAAGGGCCTTTCATAATTCATTGTAATGACATAATAATTTGGTTCTTTCCCAAACTATGTCCTGCCTTCTAAGATGTTATTCAAAACAGCATATTAATTCTACCACCTGGAAATTTGCCTTGTTTAGGGCTGAAATACATTTTTGATGAACTTGATCCTATAAAAACTGGAAACTGAGATGATAGGATAGAAGCCCAGCACTTAAGAGTAATATTAAGTCCCAGGGAATGGGAGGTTCTATTTCTAGCTGAAAATAAACATTCTTAGTCCTCAAAATACAGCAATGTGCTGCATAGGGACATTTCAGTCAACAATGGGTTGCATATGTGACAGTTATAAGGTTATAATATATTTTTACTGTGCCTTTTCTATGTCTAGATACACAAATACATACCATTATGTTACAATTGCATACAATATTCAATACAGTAACATGCTGTAGTTTATAGCCTAGGAGCAATAGGCTATTCCACACAGCCTAGGTGTACAGTAGGCTAAACCATGTGGATTTGTGGAAGTACACACTCTGATATTTGCATGACAGTTGCTTAATGATGCATTTCTCAGAACCTATCCTCGTTAAGTGACACATGACTGTACTATTACTTAAATGCCAAAGCTAAACTCGTCAGTGTAAAATGGGTATCAACAGCTAGAACTGGGAGGCCAATACAAGATTTCAATACAGCACAGAGGTTAAAAACGCGTATTTCTGAATTAGATTAAAATCCTGACTCTGCCACTTACTAGTTTTATGTCCTTGAGGAAGTTACTTCCCTCACTGAACTTCAGTTTCCTCACTTGTAAAATAAGAGTAACAATACCTATCTCTCAAGACTGTTGTGAGAATGAGTGCTGGGTACATAAACTATTCAATAAATAATAGCTATCATTACTTGTAAGTATTAACTTGTGTCACCCAGAATACTACGGCAATTTTGAACACATAATTAACACTCCTATTTGGATAAGATGATTAAGTCACACCATTAAAAAATATGTAGGTCTTATGGGAGTATTGGTTCCAGTACCATCTAGAAAGATTGTCTTAAAAAGTTTCTTGTTCTTTTCAGTAATATGCAATAATTTCAAAATACTTCCCTCTTTTTATATTAAGTTATTAATATTTTCCACTTTACGGCAGTTTTCAGGTTACCACTTAGGCCAGAAAAGTAGCAAGTAGTAGCTATTTAAAAGCCATCAAATGAGTTACACC